ATGAAGTTTAAGCAGAAGCAGAGAGAGGAGCAGGCAGAAGCTGATGGAACCGAAGGTACAAAACCAGCATATGTATATTATGGTTAAAAAGTATACTTTAGATGTTTGATTACTCACAGATCAACATAATATTTTTTACATTATTAGATGCTGACAAAGTTGCATATCTGATGGGCCTGAACTCTGCTGACCTCATCAAAGGTCTCTGTCACCCAAGAGTCAAAGTAGGGAATGAGTGGGTCACCAAGGGACAAAATGTTGCTCAGGTAAAAACATAAAGCAAACTTCATGAGTGTATTTTGATTCATCTGCAACACATTATTTAGTTTTGATATTGTTTCCCATCATTTTCTTGTTAAGGTGTACTATGCCATCGGTGCACTCTCTAAGTCGGTTTATGAGAAGATGTTCCTGTGGATGGTGATGAGAATTAATCAGTCTCTTGACACCAAGCAGCCACGCCAGTACTTCATTGGAGTGCTGGACATCGCTGGATTTGAGATTTTTGATGTGAGTTTAGATAGGAGAAAGACACCTTTCATGTTAGGAGTTCAGTATTAATTGCTCTTTGTTTTAATTACTTTTATAATATAGTATGTGCCATTTACATCTCAGCAGTAATAAAACTTTCTAAGTATTTTAAGAAAAAAATAATTTTAATAACTCTCAACATCTTTCTAGTTCAACACCTTTGAGCAGCTGTGCATCAACTTCACCAATGAAAAACTGCAACAGTTTTTCAACCACCACATGTTTGTGCTGGAGCAGGAAGAGTACAAGAAAGAGGGGATTGAATGGGAGTTTATTGACTTTGGTATGGATCTACAGGCCTGTATTGACCTGATTGAAAAGGTGATTTATATTGTATATTTCAATTTAGCAACTATTCTATATTAACTGTTGATTTTGATGAAATATTTACTTTGGTGTTTATGCTCTACTTAGCCCATGGGTATCATGTCCATCCTTGAAGAGGAGTGCATGTTTCCCAAAGCCAGTGATGCTACGTTTAAAGCTAAGCTTTATGACAATCATCTGGGGAAATCCAACAACTTCCAGAAGCCTAGAGTTGTCAAAGGAAAACCGGAGGCACATTTTTCCCTCGTTCACTATGCTGGAACTGTTGATTATAATATCAACAACTGGCTGGTGAAGAACAAGGACCCTCTGAATGAGACGGTCGTTGGTCTTTTCCAGAAGTCAACCGTTAAGCTTTTGGCGATACTTTTTGCAAATTATGCAGGAGCTGAATCAGGTATGTTAATAAAAAACAATACCAGAAATAAACAAAATAATTTTTTGTTACCAAAATATTATCTATATTATTCTAATAACCTGTTTTCTTTCTTAAAACATGTCTTCTCTTAAAAATTGCATTCTAATAATAACATTGATTACTTATATGTAGCTCAAGAATCTGGTGGAAAGGCCAAAGGCGGTAGCAAGAAGAAAGGCTCATCTTTCCAAACTGTTTCTGCTCTTCACAGGGTAAGATTTTTGTACAGTATAGTAATGAAATTGCCAAAACTTCTAGATATCTAATAGATGTATTTGCTGGTCAGGTTCTATGCAATGATTATTAATGGATATGTCTTGCTGTGTTCTCAATTCAGCAGACCCTCCATATTTCAGATATGTTAATGTTGTCTACCACTTTACATGACATTCATATTTAAACATCCTTTACATGATCAAGAACAGATCACAGAAAGAGGACATATAAAATTTGTGCATTCTACATCTCTGTTGTGACCAAAAGTTGGGATACAGGATTCTTGGTTGGGCTTTTCCTCTTTGGGTTTATGTTTACTATCCAATGCCCACTCATGGATTGGAAGTGTACTGCAGTTGTGTTTATAACTCCCCATACCCGTACTTCCCCATAGACTATTTTAAATACATTTTCCGTGGCCTTTCAGAGCATTAGAGACAGAAATCAAACAAAGTTCACTGGACTGGAACTAGAAAACAAGAGTTCCAATAACTGCTGGTATCTGTTGCCATACTGTACAGAAACCTTCTGCAGAGCATTGTGAAGACCTGCTCCAAAACCATTGGTCTTCCATCTAAGACCAGCAGGGCAACAGTCTCATTGCCCCTTTATGTTTGCAGTGTATCATCCGTCTGCAACACTTTTGGAAGACTAAAAAAATCAAACTTGTGCCTTTCCCCTACTTTACACAACCATACTGATGAATTTGTTAGATTTATAAAATTCCTTTCTTTAGGCTATATGTTCACGTATATATATATACATTCCCAGGTAATGGATTATATGTTTTTTTCTATTTTTTTCTGTAATGCTATAAATGTGTTTTATACAGCATGACTTATGAAATCCCTTTCAGTGTGTTGTACAAAGAAGGTTCCCCTACTTTATAGTAAACTAATCAGAATGTGTCACCTCTGGCTTAATTAGGAGAATCTGAATAAATTGATGACCAACCTGAGGTCTACCCACCCTCACTTCGTGCGCTGCATCATCCCCAATGAGACCAAGACCCCTGGGGCCATGGAGAACCCTCTGGTGATGCACCAGCTGCGCTGTAACGGTGTGCTGGAAGGCATCAGGATCTGTAGGAAAGGCTTCCCCAACAGGATCCTCTATGGAGACTTCAAGCAGAGGTTTG